TAGCTGTACGGAATTAGCGTCGAATGACAGCAGACTGTAATCCCGCGCGGGAGCGGGATGCAGTCTGCGAGCAGACTAGTGATTGATTAGTCAAACGATAAGTCAAATAAGCGGTATTCAAATGAAAATTGACTATTCTGCGTTTTAGTTCATATGATTTGATTGGTCAAATTTGCTCAGATTACACATTACAGGCATGTTGATTGGTCAGACCTATTTTGACTAACGATTGCGAAATTTTGACTATTTTGACTAATTCTGCAAATAGATAGCAGCTTCTGATTGGACAATTTGCGCAAAAGAGTTAAAGAACATCTCCTCTGATTGGCCTTCTAATCTTCAATTTGGAAGCATTGTGCACTTGGTAGCTTTTTTGCAGTTCTGTACAATTTTACAAGGAAATTATTTCGTTTGTATAATTTTATTTACTATTATCGAAATGAACGGCAATTGATAAAACTAGAATAGTGAAGCGAATAGTGCGAATAGTGCGAATAGTCGACGAATAGTACGAATAGTCCACGAATAGTGCGAATAGTCCGCGAATAGTCGACAAATAGTGCGAATAGTCCGCGAATAGTCGACGAATAGTACGAATAGTCCGCGAATAGTCGACGAATAGTGCAATAGAGACTTTGCAAGGCTTTGCAGCAGTGCTGTAGAACTAAATTTACCCGGGGGGGGGGCTCTGTTGACAAACATGAAATCGTGAAAACATTCGTCGACGTACGTCAATGACGTCATACGTCTAGTGATTGTCATCAGTGGCGCCGTGGCCGGGGGGAGCAGGGGGGGGGGCATGGCCCTCCCCTATTGTTGACACCCGTCGTAAAATTGCCAATGCTGCCGGAAATTGCCGGAAAATTGTCAAGACTGTCGGAAATTGTCAAAGTTGTCGACGGGGGGGGGGTGAAGATTTAAAATGTTGTCGTCTGGAAAACTTTTTGGTTTGTCGGAAAAATTTTTCGGTTTGTCGGAAAAGTACTGCCCTTGCCCCCCCCCAAAAAAAAACATGGGTCCCACGGCGCCACTGATTGTCATTCTACTTCCTGTTAAATATTTGTTAAAACTCAGTGGTCCCGTAATTTTTACCGATTACGTATGACGTCATTGACATCAACGAATGTTTTCACGATTTCATGTTTGTCAATAGAGCCCCACCCCCCGCTTCGGTAAATTTAGTTCTACAGCACGGTGGAAAGCCTTGCAAAGTCTCTATTGCACTATTCGTCGACTATTCGTACTATTCGTCGACTATTCGCGGACTATTCGCACTATTCGTCGACTATTCGCGGACTATTCGCACTATTCGTCGACTATTCGCGGACTATTCGCACTATTCGTCGACTATTCGCGGACTATTCGCACTATTCGTCGACTATTCGCACTATTCGCTTCACTATTCTAGTTTTATCAATTGCCCGAAATGAACGACGTAGGTTTCGAAAAGGTTAGATCGTTATTTGAAAGTGACGATAAGGAATGCTTACTGGTGTTCTGTGGAGAATATTTCAAGCAGATAAATTCGATGGATGCAAGAAAATTGTCTTGGCCGAAACTATCTAGCTGAGATGTGCTGATTTCTCGAATTCTCGTCGTCTACTTCAGGAGATTATAAAGAGGTGTATGGCAATAAGGTAAAGTGGATTGAATTTTGAACAATAAATCGTTGAATTGAACGTACGATTTGCATAATTATGCGAGGTTTATAGGTCCAAAGTTTTATATACTGCATACATATTCATTATGTGTATAAAATTAAAACACCTCTCAAGTGGCAGAAATTTGTTCTCAAATATTTGATCATGTTGGATAAAAAATATTTATTGTGTACATGCTTTATAGAGTATTGATTGACTGATAATAGCTCTGCAAATGTACTTTATAAAGATAATAATAATATAATCTTTGGTTATATTTTTAGATCTGATATATGCAACTGGCAATTGCTTGTATAGCTCTGTTTCCTAAGCATTGACAGGTACCAATGACCTAATTTGACCTTGATAGTTTAAATGTTTACAGTGCAAGTGTGAAAGGTCTATTTCGGCACTTTTTATACAGTAGAACACTAAAAGGCTATATGCGAAGCACTATGGTTGAAGACTACTTAAATTAAATGACTTGGCTTGGTCATGATGCAAGTTCATCAGGAAATTATTCCTAACATAGTACTGTAGGAAACATTATTGATAAATTTTCTGGAACATGTGGTTAAAGTTAAATATCTCAGCTTGCAAAAAGACCACTCTCGCCTCCAATAGCAATTAATAACCTCACTCTTGTACACAACACTGACAGAAAAAACTTCCTGGGGTTTGGTTCTTCATCATCAACCAAACTTAGCCTTTCAAGATCACCACCTTCCCAAATCCCCCCCCCCCCAAACATTATTCAGGCTTTGTAGACAAAAGCTGATGCCAAATATCGGGTCTGATCTCATTGGCTTGAGACAGGTCCATTGCATCTTGAACCAGTTAAATTTTTCAACAGACCAGGGCTTGAAATAACAACTGATCACCAATCAATAATAGGCAGGAAATTGCTTATGATCGGCGGAAAAGCATGGTTTGCAACCTGAAAAAGCAGGGAAAGTCATGACTGCCGATCACCATGATCGGGAACTTTGGGAACATTATTTCAGGCCCTGACAGACAAACTCCATGTTGATAGTATGTGACTGTCTAGTGAGTGTATAATACAGTATGTATAAGCGTAGTATAGGAATAATACAATACTGTGTTAAAAACCTTGCCAATTTAATATTTCAGATAACTAGATAAGTAAAGTAATAGTCATTTGTAATGAAATATTTTGTATTTGAATTGACTGTGATTAAAATATGTTTAAAATGCCAGGTAAAATAAACTTGTTTTCAATAAAAGTTGGCTTCCACTGAAGCTACAGCTTTGAGGCACCATTTCACTTGCGATATTATACATTTTCATAGCTGGACAGATATATAACAAGATGATGAATTTAATTAGATTAGACATAGCTAGGTTAGTAATAGGACTGGGGAAGGGGCTAAAGGGAAAAAACAGGCAATTTCACATCCATGAAATGTCCCGTATTGTCATCCATTTTTAACCAAGCTCCTTTTGCTGCGGTGAAAGGTGTGAGGTGGGCTAATTATGGCACCTTAAAACCAGATTGCTCTTTTTAGGTGGTATTCATTGTTCATTTTATTGTCACCCATTTCTAAGTTCTAGCCAAACTCCTTTTGCTCTTGCAAAAGGTGTGAAGGCAAGCAATCTGGTTTTAAGGAGCCAGAAACCTGTGCTTGTGTTCAGCTTTTTCAAGAAGCTGTCCTTGTTGGATCACGGTTTACTATTTTTGGTAAACGTGTTTCCTATAGGCATGCTGATGAACCAAGGTATACACTGTAGGGCGAAACAGTCTATATATTAATATATCATATGCTGAACATTGGCAGGTACGAAAATTATGTCATTTACGCATTTGTAGTTTGATAAAACAAAATATCTATACTTCCACAAAAATTGGACTATCACCCTGACATCAAATGACGTCATGTCAAATGACGTCATCACGTTTTGCGTCATCGATGACGTCATAAAATTTTGACTAACGTGCGAAAAATCCTAGATCCGCCCCTGTTGAAGTCGTTTCTGATATGAGCACCCCACACCTCTGAGTTGTATAAAAGAATTGGTCATATTATGGTACCAAATATTCTGATAGCTAGTTTTGGGTTAGATTGTGTAGGTTGAGTTGTTGTTTCAACTTGTCTTATATTGTATACGGCATGAAGTGCCTTTTTTCCCAGTTGTTTCATACCATTCGAGTTAATTAACTCCTGTACAATCGGGTGCAAAAATAATGAGACTTTTCACGTTTTTGGCCATTTTAAAGTACGTCGGCCACCCCCCTTTCCCTGCCCCGCCCATGATCAATGTTGGAAAAAGTGGGTTAAATGTTCTCTTTTCAGTCATTCACACAACATTGAATTGGGGGTGAGGGGGGCATTTATGCGGTTGTCTCAATAATTTTTGCTCCTGATTGTAGGTATAGCAATATTCTTGTACAATTTCTGCGGTTTTGTTGTCTAATGTGAAACTTGGTTTCAAAATTATCTTGTTTCCTTTTTGAAAAATCGTTACTTTTGTTTTCTTTAAGTTAACCCCATTAGCCATTTACTGCACCATTTACAGCGCGGGGGGGCAGCTGGCCCCGTTGCCGAAACAGCGGGACGGCAGTTGCCTTTTTTAAGCAACAACTACACTTCGAAAATCGTCCGTTATTAACATGAATTAAATTGAGAACTGTTTTCAAGCAATTCCGGCATTCAGCTCAACTGAGTTGAATCTGTTCCAATGTTCCAATCAATGCCGATATCTGTCGAACTACTATTGGCTACAAGTATCTGTACAGCGACATTTTTGTAACTACTTCATCTTGCACGGATAGTTTGGATCAATGCTGGGCGGGTGATGGAGGGGGGTTATGGAGGGTCAAAGATAAAACATATCCAAGCAAGATGAAGTACTTAACAAAATTTTAACGCACATTGCCGACAACAAAAATAGGGTCAGAAGTGCCCCTTTAAAATGGCTGCCCCCGCTGCTTCACGTTGCTTACGGAGGACCTCCTTGTCAAGCCAGACCTTGTAAAAACGTTCTGAAAAATCCATACAAAGAAAAGGTGGCAGAAGAAGTATATATATCACGACACGAAAAGACAAGATGTGCACCAGGTGAACATAAAAAACATGGCAGAAACTCCTTGCCCGAGCTAACATGTATGGTTTTAACATGTAAACAAACAAATAATGTTAAAAAGCTCATTATACTAACATTAAAATGTTGTTTTTATGTTTCAATAAACGCTTATAGACCGCATTTTACGAGAATACAAACGAGAAAACCGGTTGGGGCCCAATAGTGAATATAATTGCATGTTGCTGCAACCAAACCATTTTATACGTGAGGAAGCCCTAAAAGAGTCGGAATATAGCCTACAAATTTTTCATAAATACCTAGTAACTTATGGTTATTCATGTGTTGCCAATGCTAATTGAAATGAGTTTACTGAAGCCCGATCTGCCCGGTATAAGTAATAGCTAGTAATCGCATTTTGACAAATTCAATGTGCTGCTCTCCAAAACGACAGTGATTTTCACCAAAACTCTCCTGCTTGTCAATGTGATTCCTCTCAGGTGAAGATCTGTTTCTTTGTTTCGCAAGCATGCAAATAACCAATATTCATCCACCATGAACATAGCATATTTTGAGAGTGGTCTGGCCTTAAACCTGATGACATTTCAAACGCTTGCCAAGAAGGAATTGGAAAGATTACTATAAACATATTGAGGAATACAAGGTAAGAGGGGAAAGGTCAAACTTGAAGCACTGGCGGGTAAATAAGAAAACTTGAGAGTTTCTACAGGAGGCTACATTCAATGATCATTCATTTCATTTCATCTTCTGAGACGGAAACTAGATATTCGTCAGAAATGTGCATCTATAACTAGAAAGGAAAATGCTAGTGCTCGTTCAGTTTAAAGATAAAAACAAGCGACTGCATGGTTTTGAAACCAATTGAAAGTAGAAGAAACTGCTAATTAAGTTGTTGTAGCCTAATTACAAATGGCAGATAACATAAACAGAAATTTCTCAGAATGATGACATGAAGATTACATGGCAAACCTTAATACCGAATGCATTTTGAAGTAAGGTTTCATGCAAGAGCTTTGGAGAATTAATCTTTTAACTAAAGAGAATCATTTAATTTTGTTCATGCCGAGATGCTTTCAGTTGGAGTTTGCAAAAACTATATGTTGAGCTGGCGATATGTTGAGCTATAGTGATATGTTGAGCTATAGTGATATGTTGAGCTGGTGATATGTTGAGCTGGGCAGTGATATGTTGAGCTGGTGATGTGTTGAGCTATAGTGATATGTTGAGCAGGTGATATGTTGAGCTAGTGATACGTTGAGCAGGCGATATGTTGAACAGGCGATATGTTGAGCTAGTGATATGTTGAGCTGGTGATGTGTTGAGCTATAGTGATATGTTGAGCAGGTGATATGTTGAGCAGGTGATATGTTGAGCTAGTGATACGTTGAGCAGGCGATATGTTGAGCAGGCGATATGTTAATTGAGCTGGTGATATGTTGAACTGGTGATATGTTGAGCTAGTGATATGTTGAGCTAGTGATATGTTGAGCTAGTGATATGTTGAGCTGGTGATATGTTGAGCTGGTGATATGTTGAGCTGGTGATATGTTGAGCTGGTGATATGTTGAGCTGGTGATATGTTGAGCTGGTGATATGTTGAGCAGGCGATATGTTGAGCTGGTGATATGTTGAGCTGGCGATATGTTGAGCTGGTGATATGTTGAGCTGGTGATATGTTGAGCTGGTGATATGTTGAGCAGGCGATATGTTGAGCAGGCGATATGTTGAGCTAGTGATATGTTGAGCTGGTGATATGTTGAGCTGGTGACATGTTGAGCTGGTGATATGTTGAGCAGGCGATATGTTGAGCTAATGATATGTTGAGCTAATGACATGTTGAGCTAATGATATGTTGAGCTGGTGATATGTTTAGCATGCAGGTGATATATTCGATTGGCGATATGTTGAGCTGGCTATATCCAGAAAGTACGTTTCTCTGTACCATACCTTAGAGATGGGCAGAGATTCCTGGTTCTTAAATTGTACTGAAAGCCAACTGAACATAAGTACAATCATTTAAGAACCAGGAATTTCTGCCCATCTGTATTTTGTAAGGTCTGGTACAGAGAGACAAAACACTGTTTTATACCCAGGGCTATTTCCCTGAACAATAGGTAGATTTTAATATTATATAATAGCATGTACGTATATATTATTTACTATTTACCATAATTAATTTGTATATACATTGTAATTTTATCATAGTTGTCTGCATATCATATTTGTAAATCTATTGTATTTTTTTAACCTAAAATATGTATTAAAGATTATTAATATTATGTTAAGCTGGCGATATGTTGGGCAGGCGATATTTTGGGGCAGGTGACATTTTGGGCTATATATACTATATAATGCTATTATACATGCAGCCTTATTTCGATTATTGCAGCCCGTTATGGATAATTGCGGAATTTGCCTCAAAGATAGGTTTCAGAAATACCAAAATCGTGCTGCAAGAGTAATTACTGGGCCAACTTGCAAAATTCGGTCATCTGAGTTATACTCCAGAACCAACAGTATAAATTGGAAACCTCTCGGAGAAAGACGAAACAATCCGGCTTAAATCTATTTTCATCCGTAAAATCGCACACCGCACCCAATCTTAAAGAAGCATTTCAATTTAATAATGAAAGACATAATACATATAAGAGGGGGTTTATAGGGGTATACAAATCCGCCGATCCGCCCAAATTTGAAGCAAAATCCGCGATCCGACAATGGTCTTCTCTAAATTTGAATCCGCTGAAAGCTTTACTATGAAGTCACAATCCAGGATCCGAACTAAATTGCAAGCTAAATCCACAATCCGAGCCAAAATATTAGATAAATCCGCAATCCGCTGTATTAATAAGATCCGCAAAACCGTGTAAAATATTCGCCAGATCCGAAATCCGAACAATTTTTTCTGTGAAATCCGACGATCCGAAAACCTATTCACCCCCCCATATAATCTCAGAAATAGGGATACTGATTTAGCACCACCTGTGCCGAAAAAAGAATTCAGTTATAATGGTGCCTTGCATTGGAATAATCTTCCCCATGAGGCAAAACTTGCTGTATGTATGAACAGATGGAAAAAAAGCCCCGAAGTCACGAACTCTTTGGAAGGGCTCTATTATTACTACAATGGCATTAGCAAAGTTTGGATATAATTATACGACAACGCACGCTTCCAGAAAGTAAATCACCTTGGTTATTGAACTCGGTTTTCGTGATTGAGATGTTAAACTTTAACTAATGTCACATATACAAGAAAACGAGGCTTGAGTGCTATAATCACTCATCTCAAAATTAAGCCGCGTTCACACTAGCGGCCCAGGCCTGGCCTGGACCTGGCCTGGGTCTAGGTGTGAACGGGTTTTACCTGGCCTGAGCCTGGCCTGAGCCTGGCCTAGGCCTGGCCTAAGTCAAGAAATCCAGGCCAGCAATATCTGCCCACGATAAAAACTGGTCAGATGATTGTCATACAATTGGAGGGAAAAACATTCAAAACGCGAAATTAAATACTTTAGTGGAACACAAGGACGTTTATATTGACGCCTGATTGCTTTGGCCTGGAGTTGGGCGTCAAGCCAGTGTGAATGCGTCACAATTGGTCAAGGCCAGGTCCAGGCCAGGCCTGGGACGCTGGTGTGAACGCGGTTTTAGAAGTGATAGTCACATTCCTAGACTTGGATCAAGTCCGTCTCTCTAGAGTCCGAAGGAGAGCGCGAGGTGCACTGAATAACGCGGGAAAGTTTGAGGCAGAAGACGGACTTGGCTCACCTGCAAGCGCGCCAAATTTACCGACCCGTTTTTCCGTCGGTAACGCAAATTATTCAGGGATATTTTGTTCAGGACAAATTTTGTGCATATAGTCATTTTAGTTTCGATCGCGACGGGTATTTTAATAATTTTGCCCTGACACTTGCGGTTTCCGTATTTGTAACAAAACCGCTAAATTAATAACACCTGTCTATTAACATAATTCCCGCCAAAATAATAAATCTGATTCGAAACATTGCAGGTGAGCCAAGTCCGTCTCTCCCTCCTCTCTTGCACCTCGCGCGCCGCTTCGCGGCGTGCTCGATCTCGTCGCTTCGCGACTCCAACTCTAGAGAGACGGACTTGATCCAAGTCTATCACATTCCTTGTGTTCAATTTGTTATACTATCAAGCAAATATATTCTTCTACGAAATGTGAAAG